TTTAACCACTGCTACTGCTGTTTAAAATGTGTTTGAACGTATAATATAATTTTAGTTTGTTGCTTTTTAATGAAGAAATGATAGATTATGGACAATCATAAATACATCGTATTATTACAGACATTGAAAGCATTGGAATTAATGCTGGTAGTCCTTATTTTAAATTTAGAAATAGAGTTGTAGCTTGACAGTGTGTTTAGATCTGTCATATTAGTAAAGGCCCATTATATTCTATCAAAGCGAAATATAAGTAATGCAGCTGTGGTTCTACTGCCAATAACTTTAATTATTTTACGTCTTCAAGTCAGTCAGCCACCTATTATTTAAAATAATGAAATACTTCTGGTTGCTGAAACACGCCTCTCCGCTCCGTTTGGTAGACACTTTGCTCAAGAATTGGTTCATTATAATCGGAACTTTATTACATTAGTAAGAACTCGATTTATTACATTTTTTACAGAGTAAGTTCATTGTGAGAAATAGTTGTCGCAAAGACCAGTAATGTGCAATCTTTAGCAATAAATAATAAAATATATTTTTATGCAAAAAACATTTTGTATATTTAGCAACACAATTGTCAACTTTCGTTGCCGAATGCGCAAATGAAAACGTAAACAGGCAATAAAAGTTTCCAGATGTTCAATTTGCCATCCGCGCTGGGACCGCAGTCCGACTATTGAGTGTTTATACGACTAAACGGAGTAGAGTTGTTTAAATGATGCAAAACATTGTTGCTAAAACACAATAATTCTCCGCTCCGTTTGAGTTAATAATGGGCCTAAGATCTGTCAATTAGCACGAAGCCTTTTATTTATACTTTCATTATGCGAACAGCTGCCAATGAAATTCTGTGTCTGGTTCTATATTTGTCAAACGATACGACGTGGATATCTTTAAGACAATAGTAAACAGGTTTCTTTCTGGTGTATGGAAAACGTAGGCCTAAAAAAATAAAGCTCCTTGTAAAAGAGTTCGTCCAAGGAAGTACTGCTCCTAATTGTAAGTACCCGCAATGAAACCTGTCAAGAGAATGGAGACCTAAGCACAAGAAGATCTAGAAAAAAACTGTTTTTCTATCTATAAAGAATACGTAGGAGACACTGATGAAAAGGGAGTGCTGAAGGCTTTTAATTAACCCGTATAACGTCGTTCTAGAGTAAATACCTCGTAAGTGATTTCCACGTAATTTAATTTGAAAATCACCAAACAAAACAATACAAAAAAATAATGAATAACCATATAACAATTACAGTTATCGATGTTTGACCAACAATATCGTGACTTTCATACAATTTTATGTCTATATAATAAAGCTACAAATTGAGTAACTTTATGACGATATTCCAAACGCAATTTTTTTTTCTAACAACAAGTAACAGGACTAACAAGTCGTGTTCATACCAGTTGCAGTGCTACTCAGAGCTTTAAATCACAAAGATCTATGGGGCACTCACTGCGACCATTACCCATATGTTGACAAGTCGCATGTGCCTATAATTTCAGTGGAAAAGTGGCAGTACTTGCCATGGACGAACCTTTTCACAAGGAGCTCAACTGCTACGCATGTGAGCATTACTACTTTTTGAAGGCTAAAGAAGCTGGTGAAATTACTTTACGTCCTAGAGCAATGAGTGAAATGGCAGTGCTCTTGGGATCATCGTGATTTAAAGCGCTGAGTGGCAATGCATTTGTTATGATTCGGAGTGTTGCTTACCACCAGTTTCATAATATTTTGTCTCGTCATCTTTTATCATAAAAACAGACAAGTATTAAGAGGGAGCAGAGGAAAAATTCCTAATCTTCGATTTGATTTTAGAGGGGTATATCAACTTTAAAGTTAAAAATAAAATATTGTATGAGTAACTACACGATATATTCAAGCATAGACACTAGCCAGAAACATAAAACAATAAAGTTTCCTCGATAGATAAAAATCACGAAATGACCTCTAATTTTCACATTTTTTCGATTCATCCTCGAAATGCTACATGATATTAGGACAAAAATTGGATAATTAATTATATTTATGCATGATCGAGAACTGTCACTGCGGATTTTTTTTTAATCCCTTTAGTTTTAGAGATATTCCGCTAAAACGAATTTAGTACTTTTAATGCGCAAAATTCAATATCTCCTGTCGCATGTCACGCGAACTTCAGGCATATATGTATTTGTTTCACAAATTTGGGCGGAGCCAACGTCAAAACTTTTTTGGCATGAGAGCTCTTAAATATACGTATAAATTCTTTAGAAGAAGTACTTCTCATATTTCAATTATAAATAAAATATTGTAAAACTACCTGTATCCGGGAGTCATTCTACTCATTTATAAAACTTTGTCTTCCCGCTACCCGCTCCGCCCATCAATAAATCCTCAGCAAAGGTCGTTCAAGGCCCATAATCGTTTGAGAAAAGTTCGTGTAGCTTCGGGCAGTATTTAGCGTGATGTTGTAATATATATCCACTTGTTTCGTATTAAAATGAATTGGTAGACTCATTTAGTGTTTATGGCACTTTAATTGTCTAATACATTGCTATATTGCATAATGTTTGCTTGATTATTCGCTCCAAAATTGTAATTTTGTTCTATAATGTAATTTATATACGTTTTTATGAGTATAGGTACTATAATATCCCCATTAATCGTACCAATTGCCTGATCTTAAATTTCAAAGTTCCCTGTGCTACTTACGAGTAATAGATTAACGAAAAATTGATTTTCTTAGTTCGTCTTACAGGGAGTCGAACCCGAAACTTTCGCATTTTAGTGTCCACGGTAGTAACTGCTGCACCACCAAAGTCGTTTTATTTGAATTAGACGCTGTATTTAACACCACATAAAGATACCAAGATGGCGCCGAAAGTACCGGCAATGAAACTTGTCAAGAGAATGGAGACCTAAGCACAAGAAGATCTAGAAAAAAACTGTTTTTCTATCTATAAAGAATACGTAGGAGACACTGAAGAAAAGGGGGTGCTGAAAGCTTTTACTTAGCCCGTATAACGTCGCTCGTAAGTGATTTCCACGTAATTTAATTTGAAAATCACCAATCAAAACAATACAAAAAAAAAATAATGAATAACCATACAACAATTACAGTTATCGATGTTTGACCAACAATATCGTGACTTTCATACAATTTTATGTCTATATAATAAAGCTACAAATTGAGTAACTCTATGACGATATTCCAATCCATTCCAAACCAAATCACGTAAAATTGATCGATTGCCAATTTTGAAACAATATAACAAGGTCGCAATCGATTTTCTTAATCGATAAAAGAATCGAGTTGCTCGATGATCTCGATTGATGTAGGTCAGAATTTGAACGTTATTGTTTGTTGCTAATTGTTACAATTAATTACATTTGTTATGCCTTTGTCGTGCGATTGGAGTTACCATGTTTCTTTTACTGTGGCCTTAACTGTAGATCTATATTTATAATAACCTCTTAAAGACTGAAACAAAATAAAAATAAATTAGATTTTGCGGAATTTTGATTGTTTGAATTGCTTTTTGACTGCAAAATAGCCGTTCATATATATAGACTTAATTGCTATTCATTGGAAACGAAATAGCCTTTTTTTAAAAATAAATAAAAGAACTTGCTCTTGACCACTACCTACCACTGGAGCAAAGATAGGATCTACGATGGAACAAGCTCGCCCAGAAGATAAATTAAAGTCGATAATCAGTCGCCCCGTAAAGATACCCGGGTGATATGAGTTCTGAAACACAATCGCAGGCAGGGAGTTCCATTCCTGGGCTGTGCGCATAATAAAAGATGATGAAAAGCGCTTAGTATGGCTGAAGGAAATATATACCAAATAAGGATGATATCTCGCCGTACGTCTGGATGTCCGATGGTAAAGGGGGCGGGCGGGATGAGCTGATGGAGCTCATGGCACACTCATCGAAAGAAAGAGGGTACCTCAGTATTGGTCCCATTTAAATTTTAAGATAATATTTCACTTCCAAGGGCGGCAAACTAGGAGATGAATTCGGTTTCGGATTTCGGATTTCGGTTTCGCGCACTTTCCAGTAACGGATTGCAACAAAACTTGACAAATACATGCAATTCTATGAATTTTTGAGGTCTTTTTTTTTAAAGTTATAATTTATCTTTAAACAAAGAGAAACTAAAAACGAAAAAATTTTTTGCAAATTTCAACTTTTGCAAATTTTAAATTTCAACTTTTCTTTGTCCTAACCAAAATTTTTTTCATGTTTTTATGTTAGAACCGATAGAAAATGATATTGATAACCCAGAAACGAAAACCGTGTATTTTATGGCGTAATGATTTAGTGCAACTGTGCATCACATGTAACATCCCAAAGTGGCCCCTTCCTCTGCCTTCACCTGCCGCCCCCCATTGGGTGCTGAAGAGTCCTAAAGAGGCGGGAGGGGCCTCGGGAGCAATTGTTGATGATGTCCAGGGGGCGCTGCCGCATTTGAAAACCTGAATTATCTATATAAACTACACTACAAATATACATTTTTTCCCCTTGTCATTTTTTGTGTTAAAAAAAAATACGTGTTTTCAATTATTTTTTGTGGTGGTGGGCGTTGAATTTTTTTTTATCTTGCCTAAGTTGGCGGTGTTCCAAAAGTTTGGGAACCTATGATTTAGTGAATAACTACGAAAGTTTTAAAATCCATTACACTTCGCCGTTACATCCTCGACATTTACATAATTCACTAGGTAGTTCACTCTTCTATGTACTAGGCATCGAACACAATTTTAGATCTATATAAAGAAAAAAAAGAATGAAAACGATTAGCATGAGTGGGGCGTGCCCCCCGCGCCTTCACCCGCTCCCGCGCATCCATGACACGTCATTCGCTTTCTTTGTGCTGGCATCGAAACGACTGTTTTTTTTTCGAATAATCAATATATTTAAAAGTGAAAGTTTTTAGTGTAATTATTAAGTTCGTACTACGTAAAATACAAAGTGTAAGTGATAATGAGAAAAAGGAAATGTAAAGATAAGGATCCCGATAAAATACGACGAAAAATTCGGCGTTTAGAAGAACGCCTTTACCGCCGCAATATGGAGGACGATGACAGTAAGTGGATATTGATTATCGGTTTTATCTTTTTTGCACAATGTACGCTTCATGTACGGAGTGCATAAGCTTCATATTGAAGAATATCAACAAATTGTAACTGTTTAATTTAAATTTTGTCTTTGTTTTACAAAGTGCGGAAATTTTCACTTTCGCACACCTGTCAAATAATTTTATTTATTTAATTCGCTGTGAAGGAATGACGCTCACGGCTATGTATATAATAATAATATCACCTTTATAATGCTGTGATGCGATTACAGCTAATATTATACAAGTCACAACTAGTATTTTAAATATGTACCAATGAAAAAGTTGGTTAATTTGATTTATTTTATTCTTTGCATTTACGTGGCGTGACGAGATTACGTCCTTTGCAATTACATATCGGATCTAAGATCCAGTGCCTTGATGCGATCAAGGCCATGTTAGTGGCCACGAAGGGCTAGTATATAGGCAGTGTATGTCTTTACAGGTTACGAATCGGAGTATTCGAGTTCTATGGGTCAGCAGTCAGATTGTGACGGCATTTCGTCACATGAATATTATTCAGACATGGATAGACAAACCGTCCGATCCGTGATAGCTGATGCTAATACGCACAGATATCCAACAGAGACCACGGATCTTCAGGTATCAACTCCACAAAGCTGTGATAAGGACCCTAGTGCCTCAAAGGGCAATGATGATGCACCTAGTGTCACTCACACAAGTAACAATACTTTGGAAAATGCTTCATGTCTATCATCAGACATTCTCGCAATATTAGGAGACTCAAAGGCAAAAGAAGAAAAGTTCGGCCCAAAAATCAGAGATGAAGTCTCTAAACGCTGGGGAAGCATACTCATGGACGGTCTTGGTAAAGAGCAGAGGCAGAATCTATTGGAAAGCGCCCTTATACCAGAAAATTTTCAGCTACTTAAAGCGCCAAAACTAAATCCAGAAATATCAGCTGTGCTAAACGAATCTTCTAGAAATAGGGACAAGCGCCTGGAGAAGGCCCAACATCATCTCGGCATAGGAATAGCAGCAGTAACCAACTTGATGACAACCCTGATCGATGGCAATGCAGAAAAGACGGAAATTATTAAAAGATTGTCTGAAACTGGACAGTTGCTCCTGGATTTACACTATCAAAATACTATTAATAGAAGGAAGCTGATCATGTTTTGTTTAGACAAAAAGTTCATCAACATGGTTCAAAATGTAAAAAGAGACTCTTATTTGTTTGGAGATAACCTAGGAGAAAAAATTAAAGCAACGAAGATTGCCGAAAGATCAGGTTTACAGGTCAAGAGGAAAGAACCTCAACCCTCGACCAGCTACCGAACTAACAAATATACAGCCCGCCAGGGAAACGCCAGAAGCCTGTCCAGGCAACAGAGTGGCAGGAACAGAGCAAACGGGTACCGTCCACCGACGTCGGCGACAACCGGCAGACGGCCACCGCCCACGCCAGTAGACAGATACCAGCCGCCATCGTCGAGGACGGGCCACAAGATTACACAGAAATCGTAACAGAGGTAAATGCACATGCGGGGCGTTTAAGGCATTTTTATAATGTCTGGAAATGTATTACAAATGATCCAGTTGTTTTAGAATACATTACTGGCTATAAGATACCTTTTAAGTGTCCAGTTGTACAATATATAGAACCTACAAATCCATATTATTCTTCACTAGAAATTGAAAATATACATAACGAAATAAATAAATTATTGCAATTGGCGGTCATCAAAAAATGCATAGACATCCCAGATCAGTTCATTTCAAAAATTTTCTTAATTCCTAAAAAAGATGGTACCTTCAGATTCATACTCAATTTAAAAAGATTAAATAAATTTGTTTATACACAACACTTTAAAATGGAGGACATAAGAACTGCCTCCAAGCTTATTTCTAAATCTTGTTTTATGGCAAGTATTGACCTAAAGGACGCATACTTTTTAATTCCTGTTAATCTTTCTTGTAGAAAATACCTTAGGTTCAAATTTCAGGGCTGTACTTACGAATTTCAATGCCTCCCTTTCGGTCTATGTTCGGCGCCGTTCGTTTTTACCAAACTGTTTAAGCCGGTTGCTACTTATTTACGAAATAATGGTCATTTGCTTGTAGTGTACCTGGACGATATATTATGTATCAGCAACACGTATGAACATTGTTCCCGCGAAGTTTCTAAAACGGTTGACCTTTTAAAACGACTGGGCTTTGTAATAAACTTTAATAAGAGTAAGTTAACCCCTAAACAGAATATCAACTTTTTAGGCTTTGAATTAGATTCCCTGGAAATGGCCTTAAAATTACCACCTGAAAAGCAATTAAAAATTAGAGAAATTGTTAAAAAATTGTCGAAAAAGAACAAAATACCTATTAGAGACTTTGCAAAGGTATTGGGATTATTAACGTCAGCTTGTCCCGCTGTGAGTTATGGCTGGATGTACACCAAGCGTCTTGAACAAGCAAAATTTCTCGCTCTTCAGAAATCTAATGAAAATTATGATGAATACATGACTATAAATAAGGATCTAGACCCAGATCTACTATGGTGGAAAAATCTAGCTAATTCTTCTATTAATCCTATTAGACATTTTCAGTATGCTGTAGAAATATTTACAGATGCATCTCTGACCGGTTGGGGAGCAGCATGTAACGGGGAGCGTACTGGTGGATTTTGGAGTTCAGATGAAGCCCAAAATCATATCAATTATCTAGAATTGAGAGCGGCTTTTATTGCCTTAAAATGCTTTGCTAATAACTTTACAAATAAAGAAATATTATTAAGAATAGATAATACGACAGCCATATCATACATAAATAGAATGGGAGGAGTCCAATATCCACACCTTAATGATATCAGTCGCAATATATGGCAATGGTGTGAAGAACGTAAGCTTTTTATTTTTGCTTCATATATAAAATCAAAAGAGAATATCGAGGCCGATCTAGAGTCTCGGTGCACTAATATTGATACAGAGTGGGAATTGTCAGGTTTAGCTTTTGACCGAATAATTTTTGAATTTGGACACCCGGAAATAGACTTGTTTGCTACCCGTCTTAATGCTAAATGTCAAAAATATGTGTCGTGGAAACGTGACCCACACGCTTTTAATATTGACGCATTTACATTGCACTGGGGGCATTATTTTTTCTATGCTTTTCCACCTTTCAGTCTCATCTTGAAATGCCTTCGAAAAATAATAGATAATAAAGCTCAAGGCATTATGGTGGTCCCGTACTGGCCGAGTCAACCCTGGTATCCGTTATATATCTCACTGCAAATAGCAAAACCAGTACACTTCTTGCCACAAAGTCAGCTTCTCTTATCTCCTTGCAGGACACGGCATCCTCTATGGCGGAGCCTTACCCTGGTGTCATCAGTTTTATCAGGCGAGCATTTTCCCAACAGAATCTAACCCCAGAAACTATAGATATAATGATAGCTTCTTTGTCAGAAAGTTCCTTAAAACAATATAATAGCGCATACAAAAAATGGTGGCTATTTTGTAATACAAATAAAATTGCTGATTGTTTTTCAGTGTCTATTCCATTCATACTAAAGTTTTTTACAACATTGTTCGACGCTGGGGCAGGCTATTCTACTTTAAATACCTATCGTTCGGCCTTATCATTAGTTCTAGGAAAAAATGTGGGTTCACACGACTACATAATCAGATTTCTCAAAGGAGTTTTCAAAAAGAAGCCATGTTTTCCAAAATACCAGTGTACTTGGGACACAAACCTTGTTCTAGATTTCATTTCCAATTGGTATCCTAATGAGGACTTACCTTTAGACCAATTAACAAAAAAATTGGTGACTCTGCTCGCATTGTCAACTGCACAACGAGTCCAGACGTTGTCAATAATTAACATATGTAATATTGCTTTCAATGAATCTAATGTAATAATTATAATAGATAATCTAATTAAGACCTCAGCACCTGGAAAACAAATGCCTAGACTAAGTATTCCTTTCTTCCCCAACAGACCGGAAATCTGTCCGGCAAAAACCTTAGTGTCGTATATAAATTCCACAAAATTACTTCGAGACGGCCAGAATTCAGATAAGCTCATTCTCACTACCAAAAGACCCTTCCATAACGCGACTGCATCTACGATTAGTCGCTGGATTAAATTGGTGTTATCCGAAAGTGGTATAAACACCTCTATATTCACAGCACATAGTGCTCGACATGCTTCTACATCAGCGGCTAATCGTAGAGGCGTTTCGGTAGACATAATAAAACAGACTGCAGGCTGGTCTGGCAACTCGTTAATTTTTGGAAAATTCTACAATAGACCTCTTGAACAGAATAATGATAATGTTTTCGCACAAGCTATCTTTGAGGATTGTTAAAGAGTAAAAATTAAAAAATCTCATAATGTTGATTAAAATTAGTCATAAATATTTATTTGGGTTTTTTTTCATAAGCCTATCCGACTCATATTTATACCAAAAAAAAAAAAAAAAAAATATTCTAAAAAGCTATTTCTCAAATGAGCGCTAAACATCTACCTAGTGAATTATGTAAATGTCGAGGATGTAACGGCGAAGTGTAATTTAAGGTTAAACAAACTTACCTTAAGTGAAGTTTGACCATAATTACACGAGCCGTTACATCCGAAGACATTTACACACCCACCCATCCCTATATAAGGTTATAAAATGACCCTATTGAAATCCTATTTTTCGAAATAGCTATATCTCTGAAATGAATGACGTGTCATGGATGCGCGGGAGCGGGTGAAGGCGCGGGGGGCACGCCCCACTCATGCTAATCGTTTTCATTCTTTTTTTTCTTTATATAGATCTAAAATTGTGTTCGATGCCTAGTACATAGAAGAGTGAACTACCTAGTGAATTATGTAAATGTCTTCGGATGTAACGGCTCGTGTAATTATGGTCAAACTTCACTTAAGGTAAGTTTGTTTAACCTTAAATAATCCCACATTAATTCGTTATCGAAAACATTTTAACACATTTGTCTGATCAGCTGTTTTTCTCATACGTTTTTCAATTCTTGTCAATGAATCTCCTTATACTTGAGAAACGGAGAGACGACACGAGTGACATTGGAATCGTCACATGTTGTATAACTATTTCTTTTTTATTTATCCTTGCTTTTGTCCGCTATACCACCCGATGAAAAGTGAAAACGAAGATGGTGGACTTTTGCGTAAAGATGCCTGTCAGAAATGGTGTCATTTACTAAAAAGAGAGGAGTTATAGCTTTGAAGCCTTTGTCTACGCGTTTGCGTGTCTGTGGCATTGTTACTCCCAAAGCGTTTTTTTTCTGCTGGTCTGCAGAAATTCCGGGTGCGTTTCCCGGGCCGGGAGAAATATTTGTACAGCCTACATTTATTTCTCTTGTGAGTTTGGGTGTAATTTGTGGTTGTCTATTTTATTTTTTTTATTTAAATTTTTTATAATACCAAGTGACAGGACTAATAAAGCCTGTGCCTGGCGGCCAGTGACACGCGAATAGAGTTGCAGTGCCACTCAGAGCTTTAAATCGCAAAGATTTTGCGGGCACTGCCACTGCGCCCGTCACCCTGAGACATAAGTGACAAGTCCTATGTGCCTGTAATTGAACCAGCACCCTTACCCTTCTAAGCCAGAACGCAGTAATGCTCACATTACTGTTTGGCAGCAGAAATAGGGAAGGTCACAAGGACCTCTACTCCTACTAATAAAAACTTGTCGCTTTATTACACCAATGGTGCGAATTCTGTATTTATTGGAGTTTGACTTACGTAAGAGGTGCAAAATGTTTTTTTTTAAATCGTATTATTGAAGCTTGTCCATTCTATAATCATGACGTTAAATGAAATCATTCCAATATATTGTATAAGGCGTTTTTAACATACGTAAGCGCTTAAGATGATACTTATAGATTACATTGTCACCGCACTTTCACTGACGACGACGCTTTTCACACGTCTTGAAATACTGCGGCATATTTACGTTGATTTATTTGCTTCTAGTAGTATTAGACATAAGTACTTGTATAGGTAGAGATGGGAACATATTTTATGTCTCTATCGAGAGAAACAAAAGGGGTTTTTCTTTCTTTGTCTGCAAAGAAAGGGTGATTTTTTTTAAATTCGCGAATAGTTTTTATAAGAGGTCATAATTATAGTCTCTCCGTCGATATAACAGGCAAATAAATTAGTTTGAATTATTTTAATTAGATGTCGTTACGATGCTCCAAATCTATCATCAGGTCTTTCACACTTTCAAGTTCTGAGTGGCATTGCAACTGTTATAGTGGATAGGCGCATGATCTGGTCGTGCCATCACTTGATTTCATAAAAACATTCAAAATACACTCACTCAAACTTCATTTACTTACTTGTTCATTTATTTAAAGTTTCCAGCTGTTTAACCATTTCTTTTTGTTGTGACCGGGGTTAACCGTCCTGTTAAGGTAAAGCAATACTCTAACGCTCGCGTGCGAGATCTAATTTAGGAAAAATGTCCAATTGCACGTCTAACAGACCTTAAGAAGTCAATTAAGTGTTTTAATACAGGTTGCGCATGCGACTATTCGTGACAACTAACGCTATTACAAGTGTTTAGTAGCGAACATTATTCGCGCTTTGGCAGCTAATTAACACCCACATTGAGTGGTTTAGTTTGTTAAAGATGGTGTTTTTAGCTTAATATATTTTAAGCTTAAAAACGTTATATATATTGGATAAATAACCAAGACTATGAGCTGTTTTAAAATCTAGTTTTGTGATACTTATTATAATTTTCATTTTGTCGAGTATGAGAGCTGGTAATGAATAAGAAGGTTTTTGTTCTGTATCTACGATTTTTTATAATCATTGCAATATGAGCCCCCTATTTTAAATGATAGAAATTCAAACTAATCTAAAACCATAACGTACTAAAGTATAAAACTTATGTGTTATTTTATTTATTTTTTATTTGATTGAATATTACGATGGTATTTTTATTACTGTGATATTTATCAACCTGTTGTAAAAATACTCCTTCATTAGGTTATTAATTTTTGACACACAGATTTATTTTTAACACATACACTAATAGCCCCGCACTAGGGAAGCCCTGTGTCGCGGGTGCCATGGACACACAAATTTTGACGACCACAAATTACACCCATACTCACAAGAGAAATAAATGTAGGCCATACAAACATTTCTCCTGGCCCGGGAATCGAACCCGGGACCGATAGACAGATTGAACAAACATAAAGGAAAATTCCTTCGATCCGATTGGACTCAAACCAGTGATTGTTGCCTCAACGTAGCTACCGCTCTGCCAACAGATCTTACTAGTTTCTCTATGCGTATTAGCAGATTTTTCTATTGTGTAACTTCACAAAGCATCTTCATTAATTCATGCTTTAATCCTAAACAATCCTCGACAGTAAAACAAACACCCATCACAGATCTAAACTGTCAATGCATGCAAATGCGAGTCACTCGCTCGCACGTGGGCACGTGGGCCACTTCAGGCAGCTGAGATGGACAGATTCGACCCACGGCGGCGGCGTGCGATTCGTGTAACTGAGAATTGTTTCTGAGATTAAGAAGCCTGTACATTACATTGAGATGTTTTTATTTTAATTCTTAGTGCTTTGTTTATAGTATTATTAGTTGTTAGTGAATAACATATTCTTTCTTTGTTGTAGTGATGTTTTACATCTTAACCTCGCACAAGTAGTCTTAGGGTCGTATTCCAGAACTCTACTCAATGCTGAAGTCGGGACTTGAGTATGTTTTAAAGCACTAGAAATCATACTCAAGTCCTTGCTATTAGAGTCGTAATTTCAGTGCTTGAAAAAATACTCAAGTTCTGATTTGAGCATTGAGTAGAGTTCTGGAATACGACGCTTAAAGGAGAATTATATTCATAAAGTTTATGAGCATTTATAGATTGTAGAAAATGTGATATTTCAGCTGAAGTCAGCAATTTTGACAATAAAATAATGTTCAAATCCCCCATTGATCTTGTCATTTTAATATTTTGTTCGGGAATAAAATACAGAAAAAATATTTTTCTAAAAATGACCGTTAAAAATTTTCACAATTAATTAACATTCACACGAAATAAACAAGAACACTTGAAATACTTCAAGTCACAAAAACGAGTAGCAAAGTCGTAAAACAGGTTTCCCCTGGCTTGTTGACACCAAATGCAAAAGTAAATTGCGATGTCAATAGCATATTTTCGGAAAATGAAAGTGTCCGTTTCTCCCAAAGTGACGTATACTTGAAGATATTCCACATGATCATGATAATTGTTGATTATTTCACACTCGTGCAATTGTCACGTACGTTATTGCCCAGTAAAGTTTTCTAAGTGAAACTCTGAAGTGAAAACTGGTTCAATATAAAAGAGACATTGTGTGGTTGTGCAATTCGGTAGTACATGTTCTATTACACTACAAAATAGTCAAGTACCTACAACCATAGTACCTGCCTTTGTAACTAAA